AGGCTGAGTTTTAGAGGTTCTTCTCAACCAGGCTTAGAGCCAGAAAGGAGCCATGATGGTGGATGAATGACATCTTTTAATTAAATTAATTTGGCAACATTGCGGAGGTGAGACTAGGAGAAGACTCTGGAATCATTAAGCTTATTGTATTGATTCATTCTGTGGTGCCGTAGGCCTGAACTCTAGTGGTCCATAATCCTGGTGGGAATTGAGAGGGCTCCATCCAATTTAAAAAAGGACTGGCCACAGGAGTGAGGGGAATTTAAATATTGGAAATTATTTCGCAAAGTGCTGTTTTGTTCCTTAGCTAGTCCCTTTCCTCTCATGCAGTTATTTATTAAATCATCTCGGATGTTTGCTGTTGTTGTCGTTCCTAAGCTGCTTACCATTTATCTCTTATAAATGATGGCCTTCATAACCTCTCCCCATCTACACTTCATCATTTCCCCCTTTTAATCCTAAACCAAAAATGTGCTGCTCAGGCACACTCTAATTGTTAATTGGAATGTCATTGGTAAAGCTTGCATAGTGGTGTTGTAATTACTTCCCAGTATCGTCTTAATTTTTTTTTCCATGTTCAGCAGCTGAAACTGAAAATAGCTGCTCGACTCTTTGCTTTCAACAATTAGTTAAGTGGCAAGCAGCTGGTTATCTGGGGGCAGGCTCAAACGCTTAATCATTCAGGTCTGAACGGGGATCTTCTCAAGTAGCAACACCTTAGTTTGTCCTTGCAAGAAAGTTCTTCTGGAGCAGCGGTTCGCAAAGTGTGGTCCCCAGATGAGCAGCAGCATCCGGGAAATATTCAGAAATGCAAATTCTTGGACCTCTATCCCAGACCTACTAAATCAGAAGCTCTGACATGCAGGGCCCACCAATGTTTTAACAAGCCTTCCAGGTGCATACTACAGTTTGAGGACCACTGCCCTGGAGAAATATTTTTTTAGAGTTGGACAGCCAGACTCAGAGAGTTAGGAAAACAGACTTCGGAAAACACCAGGAAGTTTAGAGGCTGAGTATAGAGGGCAATTACTTCCCTCTTGGAGATTATGCAGACATCCAGAAGATTAACTGCTTGAACTGAGATGATCGCCTTCAGCCCTCTGCTTTTTGAAAGAAAACCTGGGTAGCCATGGCTCGCCTTGTGTTTTGGAAAGACAAGTTCTTAAGTAAATATTCAGGAAGGACTGTTGGATCTTCCCATGCCTGGGTGGTGTTTATTGGATATTATATTGTTAAATTGATGAAAAAAGAGATATATTTCCCACTTTGGGTGAATCTCATTTTTCTCTATAGAAACATCTAAATACTGAGGATATGGTTACTTGATGGTGAAGAGAAAATAGGAGTTTGTATTTCAACCTCTATCCTACAGTGAACATTTATCACATGACAAGAAACTCTTTGTTGAGGTTCTTTTGAAGGTGCTGCGATCATAGAAATCTGATCAAAACACTAAATTTGCTTAAGATTTTAGTATCACACTTGATCCATGTGGGAGCCTAGAATGAACAGTTCATCAGCTTACCAAGTGTTGTGTGTCCTCTAGTTACTAAGTCATTAGTTAACCAAGAACAATTTAGGGAAATTCAGTTTTCTACTACCAGGATTTGAACTAGTAGCCTTATTTCAATTCTTAAAACTCTACTATTTTTTTTTCTATTGGCAACATATGTCCACAGAAAGTGTATTCTGATGTGGGCATACCTCATTAGGAAGTATGTACTCCAGAGTTACTTTGTAGTTTAAACAAAGCGATTTCTTTTCTAGCTCTTGAAATTTCTATGCATCTAGACAAGGAACTCTCCTATTTTACACAAGAAGGAAGAGGAGTTTGTATTCCATTCTCCATCCTACAGTGAGCATTAATCATTAAGATAAAGTTTCTTTGGGAGGAAAATAAATCACTGCTGATATGTCCAACACTTTTGTTGTTGAATTAGTATTTTCGTTTTATAAGATCAATGAACTTCTCCATGGGTTGTTTCCATTTGGGGAATGAAATGTTGGGGCTTTAGAATCTCCACTCTGTGGTCTCTGATTGTGTGAGTCCACAGACTAAAGGTGCTTGGAGGATTTATCTCGGAGGGGATCCTGTAAATAGTTCTGTTGCTACTTGAAAAACCTAGGTAGGACATTTCTCCTTAGGCTCTCATGGAAAGCAGGAAAGAGCTAAAAAGGGGTAGAAAATAGACTCACTGATTACTCTGGTCCTACCTGGGTCCCAGGGCTTTGTTCCCGAGCTTCCTGCTTCTCTCCCCCTCCATCTTAACAGAGTGTGCTCATGTTATTGGTGAGCTTCAGCCAGAGGAAAAGCTGCCAGCACCAGCAGCATAATTTACTCCCTTTATTGTGTCAGCTCAAAGTCTAAGACTCAAGGAATGATATGAAACGAGGATTAAATCAGATCTAAATTTGCTTGGAAAAAAGGTCTATTATGGTTTCAACATTGTTCTCTGTAAATCAGAGGTGCTGTTGAGGTATATTCTTTGATATCGTGTCCTTTAGCATTAAGCCCTTTCATTGGTGCCTTTTGGAGTGTGCAGTGTAGGAGAGAGCAGCAGAAATGACAAGGAAGGCACAGAACAACGGAAAGAAGTTGCTACAGCCTGGTTCCTCATACTCTTTTAAACATCTGCTTCCATCTATGTTGAACCAAAACATCCTCAATGGCCCTGAGCTAACACCTCTTCCCCCGTTATTCTCTTCTCTTTCACAGCCTAGCAGATACTTTCCATACTAGATACATTTCAAGGTTACTGCCAAATTAACCTCAGAAACCATGGAATTGATAGAAGCTAGAGGATTCACAAGACACCCAAATATGCCAACAGTAACTCCACCAAAAACTAGTGTGAAGCAACAGTAAGGTTATTATTTGGCCTTGGTGAAGTGATGCTGGGTTTTCCATAATACACTTGGGAACAAAGCCTTTTCTCTCTGTCCCCTTGGCTGTGTACACATCATTTGATAAGTAAGAATTTATGATGCACAAATGTCATTGCTGGCACACATGAAGACATGAGTGCAATATTTACCAATAGATCTCCTAATGCTCATTCTCTCTCTCACACACACACTCACACACACTATTTTTCAGTAACACATCATAGCAGTAGCTCACAGAGCCCAGAGATGAATTGTCTCTTCATCTCTTGAGATCTGTGGTGGATTTCTGTTCAACCTAGTTCATATACTCCTTTTCAATTCAACTAGAGTAGCTAAGAACTCTGGCACCTGTGAACCTTGTGGGTCTTATTCTTGAAACAAAACAAAATGCCAGCATGGCTTGGGAATTGAAGAAGTGTCACTTATTAACTCTAGGTCTGAATTTTTTGTTTTTTAATTAATACCTGTATAGGAGAGCAGGCAAAGAGCAGTGGTAGGCTGTGATATTTAGCTTTTTCTCCCATCTCCTTTCAGCATTGGACCAAAAGCAAACTCTATGCTGTCTTTCTTCTAACTTCCCTACCTTAGTGAAAATATAGCCGTTGTCATTTCCCTTATAAAATAACTATAAAATAACTGTTTTTTCAGTGTTTGTCTTTTGTTTAGTCACTTAGTTTGTAAATGCAAGAGTAGATTACTCTTAATGCTTGCCTGAAGGTTTTCCCACATATTTGTGATTTGAGAGATGACAAAGGGCATGCTTGACTTGTAACAGAGACGAAGAATGGGTAAATCAAGGTGCATGTCATGTGATCGGAGAGTTCAACAGACGGACCCACCATGCTTCTCGGTGGGCCTGG